TGACCTTTAAAATGGCGTATAAATTATTCAAATATAAGGGTATTAGTCGATTATGTATGACAATGCGCCCACACCCTTGCGCGTCGTTACTATTATGTACTCGTCTGGCAGACCTTTGCAACCGTCAGAATGGTCTGGCTTTTTACATATGCTTTCTGAACAGTTAAAAGAATACACCCTCAGAATTGAGCCTTGTGAAAGCAAGTAATTTTTTTTTACATTTTCAAAAACTCGAGGGATGATGACGCAATCGCGAGATGCTTGCCAGACCGGCACTTTCTTAATGTACCGATAATAAAATATCATTAAAAAATTTCTAGCTTTGAGAAAACAGGTTAGTTAGTCAAATAGTTCACTGGCTCTTAGACTATAATGTGTCTATTTCAATAACTGCACATTTCTCTGATTATATTTTACACACTTCAAAATTACTATTTTTCACTAATCTTCTTTTTGAAGTAATACTCCGAAGAGCCATTTTACTTGAAAATATATTATTAAGCCGTTCATATATTATTAATCACGTGAGTCTTAAAGGGTGAGGGTGGTGACAAAAAATCACAAAATATCACGCGGGAGAGGGAGGGTCTAGCAAGATATACACGTGTATTTATTATCACCTCAATCGAAAAAAATCCAAAATTATTATTTAAAAATCAAAGATTTTACGATGTTTTCCTAGGTACTAAAAATGCTTGGTAATTTTAAATATCATCAAGTATCACCAAGGGGGAGGGGTGGTCTAAAAATCTTCAGAAATCGCTCACTTGATTAATAGATCTATCTCCTAATCTATATATTGAAACGCAAATAGATATCACTACTGCTTGATCATAAAATTTTGTGGTTTTAATGTCAGCGGCTCTGTCGCCGTGCAACAAATACACCGCCTATTATAGTTAACAATAAATCTGTAATTCATATAATTCCTGGCTTCTATAGATAATGCCGTAATCTATTCGAAGATTCTTATCGGACTACTTATCTTTCTAGCCTGACTAACAAGTGCAAGCTGATACGGTGGAACGATATTTGCCCAAACAGTTTTTGGCGCGGGGCCAATTCAATTCAAACGTCATTCAAACACTTTCAAATGGGGAAATCAAATTTAATAGACTCGTAAAATATCTGCAACACGCGGTAATTCTATATTATTTCAAAATGCAGGTAACAAGGAACGTGCTTCAAACACTTTTTGTAATGTGAATATATTGGATTATTTATTAAATAGATTATATTGGTCTTAAATATAATTTTAGACGGTTGGTGAAATGGATTTGTCGCCATTATTTGCATTTATGAAAAACTCATAACTATGTAATAGCATAGCAAATCTTCCGTGTCGTCCTATTAACTTTAGTCAATGTTGGATGATACATATAAAACGCACTATCTAAAAGACTATATTAAAAGCTGTTTTTGTTCAATTTGGAACCATTTGAGCCCTTGGGAGCAATGAAATTCGAAAATGTTCACATTAAGGACCACCCTAATATATATACTAGCTGACCCGGCAAACGTTTTGTAATAAAAAATATTTCTATTATAAAAAAATTACTAACTGATTGCAAATGTGGTAAATAAGTGGAAGAAGTAGCCCCAAACAATGCACTACAAAGCACGCCCCATATAAATTTTCCTGGGTCATATTAATAGTCTGCAAGTGCCAACCTTATCTGACAGTAATTATATTTAAATTGAATTGGCGCATTTGAAGTTTCAAGATTTTGATTTATTATTACAGTTGTTTTGCATCAATTTATTAATTTTTTAATTACAATGCAAAATTCGATAATTTATTTTTAAATTAAATTGGTATGTGGCTTGAAAAAAATGGAGAAAATAGAAAATGTTACAGCTTTGATATAAGATCTGTATGGTACCTAATTCCTAATAAAAACTGTTTTATCTTCAGATTTTAATATTCAATCCCCCTATTTTTTGCAAAAATGACGCTTTATACAATACATTTATAAACTGTTTGTGCGCATCGAGAAATATTTGTACAATAAAAAATGGACAACTCTTAATAAAAATAAATTGCTTTTTTAATAAAATTCATAATTAATCATAAGGTAAGTAAAAAACACCCACTGACTGAAAGCGTAGTCGAAAATGATTCGATTAATAAAATGCCTATTATGAAATAGAGATTTCTGGAAGGAGGGTAAAAATTTAGAGTTGTATTCAGTTGATTTGAAATTGATTCCAAAATATAAAAAATAAGTTAAAGGTGGACAACCCTTGATAAAAATAGTTTTTTTAAGTAAAAAGAGTTCTATTTATTTTTCAATTTCAATTTATAGAATATTGAAATATATAAAGTTGGCCCCAAAATTAAAAAAAAACGTTAGGGATGGACAACCCTTGATAAAAATAAATAGTATTTTAAAGAATGATGTAAGCTTTTTCTTCAAGCTCAAAAATCTGAACGAAAATGATGTCAAAAATATTCAATGATGAGCAATGATTGAATTACTAAAATGACTATAGAAAAATAGGGATTGGTGATAAAAAAGTAAATATTTAAGGTTGTATGTATTTTAATGCCACATTATAAAAAAATAAAAACAAAAAAAATTGTCCAAAACTTAAAAATAAAATTAAGGGTAATCACTTGGGGGTATGAAAAATAGATAGTTACCGATCCTCAGAGAATCAGTAAAGCCGTTTCGTAGGAGTACGGGAATGAACTTTGTGACACGGAAATTTTATATATAAGATATATCTATGTATATATATATATATATATATATATATATGTGTGTGTGTGTGTGTGTGTGTGTTCGAGACACTGATGGTATCTCGGATTTGTCGAAGATATATACATTCTCAAAACAATTATGAATTATACTTTGTTATCAGTACAATGCTTTTGATATTTGAAACATAACAAGCTATAGTTCTTGAGAAGTAATAGATATGTGTGAGATCTTAAATTTAGAGTTAACTGTGTTGGTAGTGTAGAGGAAGTAGATATGGACTAAATGCCATGGTGTTTTTTTCTCAATTATTTTTTATTAATTTAATGATATTATAATCAATCTAAATAGTATTCACTCATCTTAGGTTCATTGACTACCAGTATCGCATTTTTTAAAAAAATGCAACTAATTATAAAAACCACTTTATAGAGCTTGTAGACCATATAGAGCTCGTAATAAAATATTTAATAGTGAATCTGAATAGTATTTACTCATCTTAGGTTCATTGACTACCAGTATCGCATTCTTTAAAAAATGCAACGATTTACATAAACTATTTTGTACATAGAGCTCGTAATGAAATAACACATGTAAGGTAAGGCTATACTGACAATGAGATACTAATTTCCAAGAAGACTGTTAATAAAATAAATCGTTTGATCTTTTTTAGGACATTAGCGCGGTCTTTGCTATAAATGCAACTCTCTTCTTTTTACCAGATTCTTTGGCATGTTTTTAATAGTAGTTAGAGTACAAGTTATAAGCCAATCACGTTTTACAGGGTTTAATTTTCTTTCATCTTGGCCCCGAAAGAGCAACGGCTAGTAGTTCCTGCGCAATAGTCTATATCATTTTGTCCGAAAGTGAACAAATATAAATAAACTCCAGCAAGCATATTATTTATAAATAAACTAGCTGTAAGTGGAATTCTGTCTTAAGGCAATTAGGGCATCGTGCCTTAAGGCAAATTGCTGGAACTTCCCGTACCAAAAATTATTTTTTTTAAAAACGATTATAATTTTTGAAAAAAATTTACTTCGAAAAAATAAGATTTTTGACAAACTATAAAATGGACAAAAAAATTACTTTTTTTTGAAAAAAAAAAATATTTTTTTAATTTTTTTTTAAAAAAAAATTTTTTTTAATTTTTTTTTTTTTTTTTTGAAAAAAAATGTTTTCTTTATTTTGACATATTTTGGAAGATCTGAACTTGTTTTTCAAAGCAATCGCACTGCTTTAACTGCATAGAGACAAAATATAAAGCGCGTAAGCGCGGCGTCGCTGTCTAACGGGTAAACATTGATACGGAACCCATAGGAAAATAAACAAAATTTATACTTATTGTTAAAATCTCTATAAAATATCTGAAAATTTGATGTGCATATGTCTAATGATCATTTTTGACCGCCAAATAGCATTTTTTTTTACTTTTTTTGTTAGATCTCCGAAACCGCTAGACCTGCCTTTATGAAAATTTGACCAATTCTTTATCAAGTCAATACAAGTAAAATGTTTTTTGAATTATTAAAATCGGACGCTCCGTTCTCTTAAAAACTGAGTTACCGTTTCCGGCACTTTTTGCACCGTATCTCCGAAACGGCTAGACCTGCCTTCGCCAAAAACTAATCAGCACGCCTCCTTATCAATACGAATCGAATGTTTTTTGAATTATTCAAATCGGTTGATCCGTGTTCCCGAAATCGTCGACGAAAATTTGTATCCGCACATACATACACACACGCACACACACACACACACACACACACACACACACACATACATCCATTTTTTCTAAGGTATGCCAAAATGTTCAGAAACCTCTGAAACGTAAAGATATATAAAAATTTTCATTTTCGATTTTTTTGCGATTACTATAACTTACCCTACGGGAAGTTAATAAAATAATATTTTACGAAATGTTTATTACATTATGACATAGGTTAGATAACAAAGTTAGAAATCAAACTAAACTAGCTGTAAGTGGAATTCTGTCTTGAGGCATTTATGGCATCGTGCCTTAAGGCAAATTGCTGGAACTTCCCGTACCGAAATGTTCGAGGAATACTGAATGTTTTCAAATAGATTATTATAAATATTGTAACATTGTCTAATATTTATGAGAATTATATAAACTGAATTGCAGAGTTGAAAATATTTGTAAAGTATATTAGAACTATAGCCAGAATTAAAAATAAAATCTGAAATATTTTTGATAAAACTAAAAAAAAAAAAAAAAAAAAAAAAAAAAAAAAAAAAATTGAACAAAATTTTTTTTCCAAAATCAATTATTTTGTTAAGACAAGCAGAAAGTTCTTTGAATCATTTAAATCGGACGCTTAGTTCTCTCAAAAACTGCCATTTTTTACATATTTAGCTCCATATCTTCGAAATGGCTGGGCCTGCCTTTGCCAAAAACTAATAAGCACTTCTCCCAATCATTACTAATTGAATGCTTTTTAGATCATTCAAATCAGATACTCCGTTCTCTCAAAAATTCGATTTCTATTTTCTGCACTCTTTGCTCCGTATCTCCGAAACGGCTGGACCTGCCTTTGCCAAAAACTAATCAGCTCTTTTCCCTATCAATAGGAATCGAATGTTTTTTGAACCATTCAAATCGGTTGATCCGTGCGCCCTAAAACGTGACTGGAAATTTGTATCCATACATACATACACACACACACACACACACACACACACACACACACACACACACACATCCATTTTTTCTGAGGTATGCCAAAACGTTCAAAAACCTTCAAAACGTCGAGAA